GTCTTAAAGGGCAAGAAAACAGAGGGCTGCTGTCAAATTAGTGAACTTTGTGAAGTGGGTAGTAAATAGCCTCTGGATTAGGAGGCTAAAAGAAGGATTTAGAATGATTTGTGAGTCATTGATCTCTCCTCTTTCCAGTTACTGGGGATTGATCAGGGATTTATTTACAACTTGTGCCCCACCCGCTTCACATGTGCTTTTGAAGTGACCAGGTCTAAACAGTTCAGTGTTGGTAGGGACATTAGAGGTTACATGGTCCGACCCATCCCTGATGTTTGAATATCTGGAAAGTTTTTCATCCAGTTTCTGTTTGAATGTCTCAAACAATAGAGAATTCACTACCTCATAAATCATGGGTTTTGTGGCTGTACATCTGTAAATGCTGAGTGTTTCTTACGTGAATCAAGATCTGTGTGAAATAGCAGAGCATTGGCGCTGGGACAGGACAGAACTGACGTCAAGATCCGGTCTCCCCTTATTTGACTCTTGGCAAGCCATCTTGTCTCTCCAAGCCTCAGTTCTACCAATTGTTAAAAAAAATATATATATATATACACACACACACACACACACACACACCTTGTTTTGCAGGTCTGACCCTATTTCCTGGCAGGATTAAGTGAGACCATCTTTAACAAGCGTGTGCCCATCATGTGGTCCGGGAAAGCAGCTCAGTGATTCTTGGCCTAACATGCTTTAAACGTAGCTTCAGCTCTTCCTTTGGGAGTCTGTTGACCACATATAATCTCTTCTCACGATGTCCTCACTAAAATAACTGAAAATACCAATTGTGCCCATCTGGAGCCATTGCCTCGCCAGCTAAAACTGTGGTCATCCTTGAAAGTCTTTCCCCTGCTCTACTTTGTCAGAGCAACCCAAGAAGTGCAGGGCCCAGCTGGGGTTCACATGCATCATGCAGAAAAGCCCACCCATTGGGCTCCTTGCAAGGGCCTGACCATTCAGCCTTCACCTTAGCAGCCCCAGCCCTGGCTTATGAGACACCCCCTCTAGGGAGCCCCCATTGCCTTGTTGAAAAGCTCTTGAATCCTATTATGGCCTGATAGCAAAGAAGATGGACTGGATCTCAAGGGATAGGCCACTTGCCAGCATGTCTTTAATTTTAATACTTAATTATCCTCTAGTGCCTCTTAACAGTCACCATCACTTTCTGCTAATTCCTTGATTATTCTGTGCAGGCAGCAGTAGAAGCCAATCTTCTTTGGAGTTCCCAATTTTCATATTCCTTAACTGTAATTAGCCTTTATCAGACTCCAGATACTTCTCATCAGAATCCAGTCTTTAAATTGCAGACCTACTAGAAAATGAGGGGCCTGGTTATAAGCAGCCCAGAATCTGGAGGCCCTGTGGAAACGAGCTATTTGCCAGTGGAAACTTGGCTGATTTTGCGCCAGTCAGCCCTTAAAATGGGCATGAGGCTGGTGGGAAGACCTGAGACTAGGGACTAGGCCATTTTCCTCTGTCCTCAGCCAATTGTGTAATCTTAGGTAAAAATTTCTCTGTGTATGCAAACAAAGATAACACCTGATGTACCTGCCAGGACGGTCTATAAAGGCAAAAATTAATTCATTGCTGAAGAAATGCTTTGAAAAGCATATATTCTGTATTTGTGCCACGCTTGCAGTACCATTAATAATCACCATCCTAGCATCTGATGGGCCACTTGTGAGTGTAACTAGAATCTTTGTGCATAAAAATGGGACCAGGAGCCATGAGGCTGGGGCCTTATGGTGTCAGCTGGTCTGGATGTGCCAGTGTTGCCATGAGCTGGGTTTCCAGGCATGGACTCCTTGGAAAGGGCCTGACCATCCAGCCTTCAGTTTAGCAGGTCCGCCTCATGGCTGTGTTTGAGGTAGTGCTCTGGGCTCTAACCCTTCCTGTACGTGTCACCTTTAACCCCCCACTGGCCCCACTCAGGACAGAGACACTCCTACTGTGTCTGAGTCCAAGCTCTGGACATCTGCTTTCCACCGCCACGACCTCATTTCTTTGGTTGCTCAATCAGTGGCCAATACCTTTTCTCTGATTTCCTCATGTTCTGGCCCATCCTGCATCCAACACACCTCTGCAGCTTTGTCATACACCCAGAAACACCCAGAAGTAATGTTTAACCAGATGGCTGGGCACCCCTGGCCCAGTTGAGTTGACACAGCCATCAAAAGTCCACCTCTTGTCAGCTTGACAGCCATATGTGTCTCTGTAAACTATACTTAATCTTCAAATAAAGACAACAAGAAAGTCATAATTCCACCTAACATGCTACACCCTTAAACATACTAACCCCTTCCCCAGAAGAGGCGGGAAAGTCCTCGAGTGATGTTTACTTTTCTGCACAACCTGTTACTTAAATACTATGATGCCAAATTGTAACTGTGCTAACTTTGGCAATTCCAGAGCTTCCATGTGACACTTGTAAACCATGTAGTACTTTATACTCTATCAAGTGTTTTCACTTATGCTGTATCAAGTGTGAAATGACATCTGGTACTCTTCAGAACTAGTCAAACTACCAACTTATAGAGAAGGCTTTCAGTGATGCAGATGGCAAGTTCTCCTTGCCTTTGATAAGCCTGACGGATCCCATTCGAAGGTTCCTATAGGACCAGTAGATGCTGTACTGTAGATTCTGCAAAGCACAAGCCTGACATCCCTGGGGATGTTTGTCATGCTCAACTCAAATCAGACTGATGACAAATGGGATGGGTTTTCATGGCCAAGTCAGGGTTTCAGGAGGGCTTGTCTAGCTGTTCACAGATGGGGGGGCTATACCAAGAAGACTACAACATGCACTTTTTCTTTTCTGAACTAACTCTGTTCCAATATCATCCGTGACTGATTTTGCTGTTGTCATGTTTTGTTTTTTTTGTCACAAACCTAGCTATTGTAGAATTCTATGAGGTCAAAAACCTGCAAGAGAATAAAACCTCAGGGAAACAGCCGGGCCACTAGCTCAGAGAATGGGCCACCATCACCTCTCACCTGGGGCTTGCAGTATCCTTTCCTTGAACAACAAAGCTGACAATGAGGGGTCTTCCTGCAGGTAGGGGACTGGCTGGTGTTACAAGGGGCTTTCTGGCCTGTAGCTATGTTGTCAGTCATTTACATCCAGGCGTAGAGGGCATTGGAGGGACCTAGCTACACATGGCTTGAGTCTCACAGCTTGGTCTTTAACACAGCTGCCATGGGTGGGGGGCATCATATTCCACACAGGTTCCCACTGGGAATGTGGTTTGTTTCCTAATCCAGAGTCTGGTTTGGGGCAGGGTATCCACTGGGGATGTCCATGCCTTGACGGAAGCTACTGAGGCTTGGGGTAGGTTCCCATGGCAGTGCTGTGGGCTCACGGAGCTTGTAAAGCAGCTCTGCGGTGGCAGCCCTTTGCCTCAGCCCAGCTATTCGTAAGCCTCAGAGGGGTTTTTAGGTCTCCAGATAACTGAGCATTCTTCATTGCTGAAAAGCAGTGCGTGTTCCGTGTTCTTCCCCAGAATCCATTATTTATGCAAAGCACAGCTCTTGGTCCAGCAGAGGGAACATTATCACACAATGAGATTTTTCTGTGGCTCCTTCATGACTGGTAGCATTACAGACCATTTCTTCTTTAGCCAGATTCAAACTCTAACTTAATTTGCACATTATCAAAAACCTTACAAAGCATACATCAGTTCAATTTTTAAAGTTCCTTTATGATATTTTGAGAGCAGCCAAATTCCCCTGCTCGTCTGGACTCTTTCCTGCCTCCTGCCACAGCTCGTGGCAGGCTAAATAACTGTGGAGAAAAAGCAGGTTTTCAGCTGTGGCTCAGATTACTCTGTCACCCTTCCTGCGTGGCAGACAGATCCCTGCTGACATGGAGAATGAAGACAAGAAAATTACTTCATTATAGTGTGTCCTGATCCATTACAAACATCGAGGAGTTGGGTCTGTCCATCTGCTGCTCTGCTCTGCCCCTGGACGTAGCTCTGGGTTATGAAAACAAACGTTGTGTTGCCTTAGTCTCTAGGAATTAGCAAGGGAGAGGCTTTTAAATCCCCAATCCGGGTTCTTCTGCGGTATATACCTGTTAGAGTCAATGTGTTCTAGCTGGACAGCCTTTAAAAATCATCTACTGTACCCCTTCATGTTCCCAAGGTCCAGAGAGGGCAAGTGGCTTGCTCAAGGTCACAGCAGAAGTTGAAAGTAGATCCCTAGCCAAGGGATCAAGTCTAGATCCCAAAGAATGTGTCAGGTCTCAAACATTATAGCCCCAAGTGATGGCAGTGATGTTTAGTTTACCAGTAAATGCTTCCCTTTGTTGTCTTCCAGCCCCCAGGGTCCCCAGACCCTGTAGAACTCCCCTCTTTGCTAATGGCTGACAGCTCTTAGGGTATAGGAGCTGGCATCCTGGGGAGTGCAGGTTTGCGCCAGTCATCCCCTGGCCATTATAGGTAGCCTCGAGCACCTTCTAAGCACTTTATACTTTTTTGCTCACTTAAATTTCACAACAACCCAATGAAGTAGGTGCCATTATTTTAATCAGGGCTTAGAGACGTGAAGAAGTTTATCAGAGTACCTGTTAGGTGATATATGGGATTAGAACCAGACAGTCCGGCTTCAGAGCCCACTTTTTTAACTACTAGGCTATACATGCCCACCATCCCTTACCTGAAACCCCAAGGGCCAGGTGCAGCTCAGAGATCTTAAAACTTCAAACTTTATAAATACATTACATATATAATATGTTACATAATCCTGGGGCAGCGCCCTATAATCAAGGAAATGATGTTTCTGCAGTGAAATGTATGAATTTTCACATTATGTAGGATAAATAAAGACTAAATCCCTCCTCCCTCCTGCCAGTTCAAGTCAGCTTTTGCCACAGTTAAGGAGCAATGTTCCACGCTTAGATCTCTTTGAAGTTTGGCAGTACAGACAGGCAACTGAGGATTTGTAATGCTGTTCGCCACATAGCCCTTACATTGCTCCTGTCCCATTTGTCCCTACAGCTGGCTGCCACATCAGGGCCACCATCACCTCTCACCTGGGGCTTGCAGTATCCTTTCCTTGGACAACAAAGCTGACAATGAGGGGTCTTCCTGCAGGTAGGGGACTGGCTGGTGTTACAAGGGGCTTTCTGGCCTGTAGCTATGTTGTCAGTCATTTACATCCAGGTTTTTCCAGGACCTGTGCTTGGCTTTTAGAGAATCCCTTTTCCTGTATTCCCGAGCATCAGTTGCCAAGCATGTGTTTCGTCACCAGACATAAGGAGACCATGAGCCACTATCTGATTCAGTTTGCTCTGGAGCCATTGAGGTGCATTCACCTCCTTCAAGTGAGATGGCTCTGTTCTGCAAGTGGCTACAGGACAAAGGAGGTTGGGCCCTATTCACCTGGCTTTGTGAGTCATCAAACACACAAAAGCCCCTGGCTCTGTGCAGGAGAAACCTTTCCGGAACTCAGCGCCCCTGAGCTGAGACGGGTGTGCGCCGCTCTGGGCTTAACAGCATGAGGGTGTGTTCCTTGAGGCGCCAGCTCTGGCCTTCTGCAGCTCAAAGTTTGACTCTCCTTGCCGAAGGTGTGAGTGGCATGGGTGAAAACAGCTGTTCACATGTGAACAGTACTGTCCAGAGCACAAAGACTATCCCTTCATGACTGCAGGAATTCCCGCAGTGGCCCTGAGATGGGCTTAAGGCCCTGCAACCTCACTGCCACCTGGCTGGACAACTTTCGGGGGGCACTCAGGAATAGGATTCATAGAACCCAAAAATGAAACTGCCATAGCTAAATTCTTACGTTCTTTAGCATGTACACTAGTGGTTTATTGCTTAAATTATTTCCTAAAGACCTACTAATTTTAGGAAATTCCGTGTGTAGTTAGAAGGGTAGATGAAATAGTATGGATATTAAAAGATGACAAATCAAAAATATTATTATATAGAGATGATAAAGAACATAAACATCTGTAAACTAATGAAGAAAAAACGTGTGCAGGAATGCTTCTATTTTACTCAAGCCACAGTGAAAACTAATCACAAGTTAAGTGTAAAGTAGACAACCACAAAGAACAGTGTTTCTGAGCAGGCTGCCCATGAAAAAATATGAATCTATGATGAAGAAGTATACATAGAAATGTGACTTAACTGGTGAAGCAGATACAATATAAAGGTATTACAACATTTAAAGCATTTTTCTATACTCAAAAACAATAGTAGAGTTTAAATAAATGCAGGTTATTGTATATCAGTTATCTCCCAATTATAACACATGAAAAGAAAATTACAAAGATGGTTATCCAAGGAGGCTCTGTGGGCCTTGGTGAGAGGGGACCACAAGTAGGGGCAGTTAATGCATGACCCACTAGCCTTCAAGGCAGCCCAAGAGATCCTCACCCGTGAGCCACCCACCACTGACAAATGACATCTCCTGTAGCCCATGGCATTGTAACTCTCAGAAAATTTTTGTGAGGACATAGTAGTATGAGGCTGAAATCAGTGTTTTTCTAAGGTCCATATCCCATGACTTGTACATATTTGCAACTGAGTAGTAGCCAAACTAGGCCCTTCTCTTCTCCCTCTACCTAGGAAGTCCTGGAGGTGCTAAAGTCACCTTTCTGAGGTCCTGAGGCCAGCGCACATGGAACTGAGACATGCCTTTACTATCCTTTCCAGTTCCAGCCTCCTTACTGCAGCACCAGACATCCAGATTATGCATTTGCTTTCTCAACACTCTTTCACCTCTGTTAATTCTACTTCTAATGGAGTAATGGTCCTGTGATGGCATTATTATTCCCATGCTACAGATGGCGAAATGGAAGTCTGGAGGGGTTTAGGCAGTTGCCCAAGATCTGACCAGCCCATCTCTGATAGGAATGTTGGGCTAAAGCCCTTTGCCCGCTACCGTATTGCTTTGATTTCCAGTTTAGGACGTGTGTCTCTGATCTCCAAGGGCACACCAGGACTGTGACCGTCTCTTAGGGGTGTAAGCCTCCCACAGTCTCTTCCTTGCATGCTGTCGATAGTCAAGAGGCGTTTTTCTTTTCTTCTTTTTCTTTTTGCTTGGGAGGAGAGTGGAAATGTTTCAATGCTTGCTCATTAAAGCCATTCATCTTTTACTTCATAAAATAACAAACCATCCCAACAAGGTTACATCTTTCTTGCCTTTAGGGTTAATCATGCAACTGGAACATTTTTAAAAATAATTTTTCCTGATCACTTTGCAGTAATGTTAGCCCTTCAAAATGTCTTCATTATCTCCTCAAGCTGACACCTCCAAATTTGCCATTTATACCATCCAGCTGTCATTTGCTTTTGATGAAATGACTTGACTACAAAAGTAAAAAAAAAAAAGGTTATTATGCATTTTGATTGAAAACAAAGAAATGGGTTCCTTTGGTGAGCAGAAATCTATTACTGATGCATTCATTCATTTGCGCTCCTCACCCCAGGGGGTTCACTGAGAACCCTGGGTTCTGTGCAGACTCCCTCTGCCTGCTAATGACTAGTCGCAGAAGTTTGAGCAGCTGAACCATGACAGAAAAGCCACAGTCCAGTCCGGGAGAGGAACCTCAGTTTCCTGCTCTCCTGTGGGAGTCAATTGTCATGTCTCCCCCACCCCTCGCTCTCTCGTGGAGTGGTGGTGCAGAAAGGGGTGCAAGAGCAGACTTTAGAATAAAACTGATTTGGGTCCAAATCCCTGCGCATCCATGTACTAATTGTGTGATCTGAAATGAGCCATCGAATCTCTCCAAGCCTCAGTTTCCACATGAGTGTAAAGGGGTTAATACCGCTATTGATTTTATGGGGTTAAATGAGGTAAACTTGAGTGGAGAACTTGGCCCAGTGCCTGGTGCTAACGGTGGGTGCTCCAATTCGTGGTACGGTCAAAGTTGTGTTGAATTTGCATAGTCAGGCCTTCCGGCCAGTGGATAGGACTAAACTGTGTAGACCTCTGCTCCGGTGATGTTAGGGCAAGTTGCCCTGCAGCAGTGTGAGATTACTGGGCCAAAGGGTGTGTGAGTTTTAAAGCCACATAGGACAGCCTTGTGCTTGGCCCATCTGCTAAGCAGAAAATGGTATCATATTGCCTTGGCGGATGTGTCTGTATTTGTGAGTGAAACTGAGCACATTTCCTTATGGCCACCTGATGACTGCCATTCCCTTGGCTGCTGGGGTTGTTCTCTGGGCTGGGCCGTGCTCAGATGACGCCCTCCAGGGCTAAGTGCTGGCGATGCAGGACACAGGTGGTCTCCTGGGCTTCGGGACCCCAAAGGCCTGAGAGAACCTTGGGGAGGCAAGGGAGAGTTTCAAACCACTCAGCTAAGAAGTCGCAGACATGAGCTGAATCCCCAGCTCTGCCATTTACTCACCGTGGGACTGTGGTCAAGTCACCCACACTTTCTTAACTAATCAAACCTTTCTGTTTGGGCAAGGACAAGAACAGGTTGGGAATTCTCATTTTGGAGTCCCACTCTACTTAGGGCTGTCAGATAAAAAATAAAATAAACAATGAATGATTTTTTAGTATAAATATGTTCAATGCAATATGCTTTATTTTTATCTTTTGCTCTATTTGGAAGTGTGAGCTCCAGTGTCAGTTCTGTATATACTTCTTACATCCTCGTATCAATCTCTCTGAGCCTGTCTCCTCCTCTGGGAATGGGACTGATAACATCAGCCCTGAAACCCTCACAGGGTTGTTGTGGGGATCAAATGGGATGATGCATATGACACTGTTTGACAAATTACAAAGTACTCTTCAAATATTAGATAGTAGTGTCATTATGCATATATGTCACTATGTATGTTTAGTGCATAAGTATGTCGAGCTGGCGTTATAGAGGGGCTCCTCAAGTGAGAACCCCTCTTCCTCTCTTTGCTCCCATCAGATAAATGCATTAGGAGGTGGCTGGGAAAGTGTGGATTGCACCTCAGGGACTGGTGTCAGCATGAGGCCCCCTTATCCTCTCCAACACAAACACAGCAATGTTTCATATTTTGCACTAAATAAGCACTTGGGTTTAAATATAACTCTTTCTGTTAAATCGATATTTAAAAAAAATGTCTGCATGGGGTAATTATTTTCCCAAAAGAGTACCAGGAATACATTGCAGCCTCCTTCCTGCTTAACAGTGTGTAGTAATAAAAGCTCTATCACCCTCAGAATGCTTATTACGGTGACAAATCACTAGGAGAAGGGGGAAATGATTTAGTATCTGTTCAATTCCATTTATTCAGATCCTGCACATTCCAAATCTGAGGCATGCAGCCCTGTCTGAGGGCAACTGGGAAGCAATGGTTTGGGGGAATGGTCCTGGGTCAGTTTTCCACCTGGATATCGTTTTCAAATTGTAGCCGAGCAATTAAATTTTTTATTACTGAAGTTCGATCGGCTCCCTCCCACCGCCACCTCTCCCCAAATAGCAATTCTCTTGTCTTCTCATCGCAGTGAGCCCTGCTATAACTTTAAGAGCATGAAAGCAAATGTGGGGGGGGGGGGAGGTCAGCGTGGAGGGCACCCAGCAGGTTTGATGTGTCATTGGATAAATGATGGGATCACATCTGGAACAGTTTGGTGAATAAATAAAATGCGAAACCTCATATATCACTGCCCACCTTCCAATCTGTAAGGGAAAGAGCAAATAAATTCTCTAATGACCTTGTAAAGCACATAAAAGATATTGAATAAACTCTAGAAATTTTGTGGCTGAAAGTGTCCAGATTAAACAATGAATTTAAGAGTGGGAAAATGCTTGAAATATAGGATGAGTCTCCCTCATAAAGTGCTGTTTTATTTTATGTGTTATTTATTAGCCCACACTTACACAGCTCTGAATAATGTAATTTAGATTTTAACTCGGTGTTATAGAAACACTCTTCCTTCAGATATGTTCCCAGAGGAGATTTTTATTTACACCTAGGGAAGGCTGTTCTTGATATTTATGGCTTTGCCTGCCACGAGACACTGCCATCTACATTAATGATTCTGCCATCATTAATTTATGCATATTTCCAGTGCCATTAACTTTAGGAAATCGTTGGGACAACATGGGTACAGGAAATTCCATCTGCCAAATATTAATCAGAACTGAGGTGTAGCCCTTAGG